AGGTGATGCCGAACCATGGGGTTTAAGCCCTCTAGAAAACGTTCCGCGACCTGGTGTTTGCTGACCCTACCGTCCAGCTTTTTCTCCAGCGCTAGCAGCATATCCTTGAAGACTATGGGAGAGAGAGCTCCCTGCTGCATGCTTCTGAAGCGCGCAAGATCACTTTCCGCGCGCGCGGAGGCAAAGTTTTCCTCTAAAATGTGGGCGTAATAGTCGTACAGTTGGCGAGGAGAGATGGCGTTGGCCGCCGCACCTGATTCAGCTACTCTGAAGTGCGCTGCAGCTTTGGCTACGAGGTCCTGTCTGTGGGAGTTGTACCACGCCTCGAATGGCGTGTTACGACCAGGCAGTGCGTCAAGGTACGATTTGAGGCTCTCAACAGACAAGTTGTTCCTAGTGAGCGGGTAGGCAACTCCTTGCTGGAAAACCTTGGTGAGGAAGTCATCCAACCCGTTGTGCTGGAACGGGTCGAGGGTAGGGTAAAGGTTCTGCATGATTTCGTCGTCAGAATCGCTGTCCCTAGAAAAGATAGGGTTGATGTAGGTGCGGGGCCTACCTAGCGCTTCAAAGAGACGCGACCACTTCTCCCTATCGGAATCTGTTCCGGTAGTTTCTGGTGGAGCAGTAACCTGACCCTCAGTAGGAGCTAACTTAGTCAGGGGAAGTTCCACCTGTACTGCTAAGCCACTATCGGAACGCGAGCGCGAAATACGGGCGGCTTCGCTAGTACTAGACCCTGAGGTGGACACCCTACGCGTACCCTTACGCGAAACCTTGCTTACCTCCTGCTGATCTCGCTGACTCGTCGAGCGAAGATGTTGCGCAGTGGCGGCCCGCGGGATGTTGCGACGTAGCGGCTCCGTGGGACTTATGCTTCCCTGTGTAATAATTAGCTTACGAAAAACAAGATAAGAAAAAGGAAAAGAGAAAGATGCAGCAACAAACGCGAAGCGAACAGGCAAGGACTAAGCAATAAAAAGCCTAGCGACTACTAAAGAGTACTAAACCCGCCCCACCTAAGCTGGTGTCGCTGTAAAGTTGCGTTGTATTGAGCTGCAAAACAAAGAGTAGCTGCGTAAAAACAGCTGGAATAATTGGTAACGCTGGGTCGGGAAAGAGTAGAGTACCGACTCGATAAGCTTGCAGCGTTTACTCCATCATATAATTGCGCTTAGGCGTACAAAAGTCTCCGTATTCAAATATAGGAAATTGCACCACCTGTTGTGCTGATAACAATAGTTTGCCTCGGCCTGGGAAGCTGGTCCAGGTCCGGATATAGCTGCACAACTAACAGGTCGCGGCTCGAAGTCGACCCTAACGCCGCGAGCCAAAAGACCTATATAAATGAGTTCAGGAGACTTGCCAAGAGGCTCGAAGATATGTGGAATCAGCCGATGGTGCCGGTGTCTGACTGGAGTGGCCTGAACACTACGGCGAAGAAAAGTGTTGGTGTGAAAACCAAAAGGGATTGCGCCCCGGGCGTCCTCTGCGTGGCCTGGGGTTAACTGCCTCGATGTAAACTGCAGTAGCGAATTGAGGCTAGTGAAAGCAAAAGAATTGATGTGACCCCGTATAATTTGGCCAGAGGTACACGAAATGCTCGTTAAGCACAGAAGAGCTCGAACCTGCTGTTCAGGTGAGCTGAATATATAGTATAAGAAAAATGTTAGGCTGGGCTGACCAAGCCTAGATGGTAAAACGAGTAGATCGTATAAAGTATTCGGGATCGAGTGTTCGACAGACGGCTGTGCATAACACAGTATCGATTGTAAAAGTGACCGAATACACAAGCAAATCGACCCAGTAGAAAATGGCCCGAAATTGCTGAATGGTAGGGCAGCTGTGCGTAACACTGCTGACCGGCTGCGGCTGGCGTGACCTAGCCTGCCTAACCTACCAAAAAGGGTGCTGGGAAAAGCAACCCGAATATCCCCTAGGCGACAGAACACCTAAGGTAAACCCAAAACCGAACTTACTTGGTCTTCTAGCCCTATGGCATAAAACGGGGGGTAACCCCCCCTTAAGTGTAACCCAGGGTGTAGGGTTAGGGGTTACCCATGTGGCTATGTACGAAGGGAGGTGGGTAACCTAACCCCGGGGTAGGGGTAACCCCTTACCGAGGGGTAACAAAGGGGTTGGGGTAATACACTACTGATGGGTAACAGACAGGGTAACCTGCACCTGTCTCGCCTGTCTACACACGCAAACATACATGTCTTCACCAATCACTTGTGAATGCCCAATTATCAACATTGATGCACCAAAACATGCCTTGTGTAGAAACCTAGACCTAAGGATAAGGCACACAGCTGCAGCATAGATGCAAGGAGGAGGACGAAGAGGCATACATAGGCAGAGCATATTGGGGACCGCCGCCAGCGAGAAGCCGCCAGTGAAGCCAATAAATATTCCTATCAAAAGGTCCAGGCACTTACCGCCGCTCCGGACCCAAGACCTAAAACTCGCGGACCAGCCAACGGGCGGCAATGTAAGCTTACATTACCTTAAGGTCGGCCAGTAGCTTAAGTGCCCCGTCCCGACCTGCTACTTCCAGCTCTAGGCACGACCTATGCAACACTATCCAGAGTCTGCTCGTTTTCAGAGCAGGCTCTCCTAAGAGCGTCGAAGGTCTTGGGCGGGAGATCCGACACCCCGAACACGGTCACACCCGGCGAAGTGTAAGGCACCCTCAGGTAAAAATCCTTGGATGTCACTGGATGTCTTGCTAAATGAGGTGCACCATAAGTGTGGGCCTGTGCTGCAGAAAGACAGTCAAGGGTCTTGTTGTGGTGGTCCGCGCGCGCGAACGCTAGAACGCCACCATTTTTGCAACCATACGCACCAGTATTGCAACGTGGATTATATGTGTGCATTGTATCTATGGTCAATAGGAACAATGCCAGCAGTGAATATGATTGACTGAATTCGTGATAGTGGTCATCGCTTATTGTAGCATGTCCGTCTAATTAAAAGACCAGACTATATGAGCTTACAAGCTAATTAGCTGTGATTCAGCTTGAATGTGCTTGTCAGGAGTATCAATGGAGGTAAAGCAGCATTCACATATGCGTACGACCACCCCCGGCCGGTAATATGTCGGCCGACCTCAGGACTGACTGCCTGATGTTTCACAATGACAACTATTATATAACATTGGATGACAACCAAAGGCATCCATTTAGTGAAGACCTGTCGTCGACTTGCGTGTGTGCTGCCAGCATTCGCCCCTTCTCCTGTACTCATCTACAAGCCAAACAGGCCAAGACATAGGTACTTATTGCTTATTCCTTGCGTGTGTGATGCTAGCATTAGAGACCTTAAGGTTGAAATGGCAAACGATGCTTCCCGAGATACCACGATACTGTAGGTTGCTAACGTTTACATTTTTAAAGTATCCTTAAGCGGAATTTACGATGTGGGAAGCATATAAGACGAGTAGCCTATAGGCCCATACATATGTCCATAGTCCAGGGCAACGGAGGGGTTTACCCTGGGGCCGTGTTACCCCTCCCGCTGGGTAGGAACTTACAAGGGGGTTACCAAACAGCTACCGGGGGTTGAAGATGGGTAACCCATGGGTTACTGACCCAATCAGTGCCTTAGGGTAGCCTGATTTAGGCTTTACGGCTATGGAAGGCAGGGTGGCTTGGCGAAGTCCTGCAGGTAGCTTGGATGCTGACTAGACGGCACACGAACGGGCAAGTCGTAATACACAGCAAATAGCAACCCGCGAAAGGGGCCAAGATTCCCTCCAGGCAATCAATCAACAGCGATAAAGATTTACCTTACCGACTGAGTTTGCCCGGCGTGAAGGATATGGGCGTTGAATGGCCCACACAGGAGTTCGGCTGGTGGAAGGAAGTTACTTATGCGGCTAATGAGAAGGGAGGACCGCACAGGGCTTGTTGTCTAGCTCAGAGAACTTTACAATGTTCCAATCATGAGCCGTAAAGCGACTTTTCCAAGCTCGCTGCCGGCTATAAATACCGAAGTCACGATGTCGATCACAGGAGGCCCTCAAAAGATAAGCCTCGAGTACGACCACGACGTATAGTCCACATATGACAAAAGTGAAACACCTTATAACCCGTGTGACAGAACATTCACACAAGAAATAAACAATTCACAAGTAAAGTACATAAACATACGCGAACGAGCGTACATTCTCGTCTCGTCCATAAGTCCATCAGCGAAGCGTAAGATGAGAACCAAACACCTTACGCGATTATACACGTAATTCGCGTATTCACACCGATTATAACCCAAGACGATTATAAAAGACGGTAAAATGAACGTGACGCTAAAATGTCGTGACACAAGATTTCCACTCCTCTGCGGCCCCTATCGGGATCGAACCGATGACCTTGGCGTGCCCATGGCTATTAGCACCACGCTCTAACCAGCTGAGCTAAGGGGCCCCATTTTCCTGCAGCTGTACGACAGTCGTCCCTGATGCAATAACAGCCACAACCGCTACGAGGCGCGGTCCCTTCGGTCCCGAGGGTGCCGTAGCTCTCGTTCGGGTCCGGACACGTTCGGGTGCATTCGGGTGCATATTGCAAATGCTTGCACATATTGCAAATGCTTGCATATGCAATATTCTTGCATATTGCATATTGCGCATACTTGCACATATGCAATATCCTTGCATATTGCATATTGCCCATGTTTGCAATGTCCTTGCATATCGCATATTGCGTATGCTAGCATATGGCATATGCTTGCAGATCGCATATGCTTGCATATGGCATATGCTTGCAGATCGCATATGCTTGCATATGGCATATGCTTGCAGATCGCATATGGCATATGCTTGCAGATTGCAGATGCTTGCAGATCGCATATGCTTGCAGATCGCATATGGCATATGCTTGCAGATCGCATATGGCATATGCTTGCAGATCGCATAATGGCATATGCTTGCAGATTGCATAATGGCATATGCTTGCAGATCGTATAATGGCATATGCTTGCAGATCGCATATGCTTGCAGATCGCATATGCTTGCAGATCGCATATGCTTGCAGATCGCATATGGCATATGCTTGCAGATTGCATATGCTTGCAGATCGCATATGGCATATGCTTGTAGATCGCATATGGCATATGCTTGCAGATCGCATATGGCATATGCTTGCAGATCGCATATGGCGTATGCTTGCAGATCGCATATGGCATATGCTTGCAGATCACGTATGCTTGCAGATCACATATGCTTGCAGATCGCATATGGCATATGCTTGCAGATTGCATATGCTTGCAGATCGCATGTGCTTGCAGATTGCATACGGCATATGCTTGCAGATCGCATATGGCATATGCTTGCAGATCGCGTATGCTTGCAGATCACATATGGCATATGCTTGCAGATCGCATATGCTTGCAGATCGCATATGTTTGCAGATTGCATATGCTTGCAGATCGCATATGCTTGCAGATCGCATAATGGCATATGCTTGCAGATTGCATAATGGCATATGCTTGCAGATCACATAATGGCGTATGCTTGCAGATCGCATAATGGCATATGCTTGCAGATCGCATAATGGCATATGCTTGCAGATCGCATAATGGCATAGGCTTGCAGATCGCATAATGGCATAGGCTTGCAGATCGCATAATGGCATAGGCTTGCAGATCGCATAATGGCATAGGCTTGCAGATCGCATAATGGCATATGCTTGCAGATCGCATAATGGCATATGCTTGCAGATCGCATAATGGCATAGGCTTGTAGATCCCATATGCTTGCAGATCGCATATGGCATAGGCATGCATGCGCATATACATAACATATTGCATATCGCATATCGCATATCGCTGCATATGGCATATGCTTGCAGATCGCATATGCTTGCAGATCGCATATGGCATATGCTTGCAGATCGCTTATGGCATATGCTTGCAGATCGCATATGCTTGCAGATTGCATATGGTTGCAGATCACAGATGGCATATGCTTGCAGATCGCATATGCTTGCAGATCGCATATGCTTGCAGATCATATATGCTTGCAGATCGCATATGCTTGCAGATCGCATATGGCATATGCTTGCAGATCGCATATGGTATATGCTTGCAGATTGCATATGCTTGCATGCATATGCTTGCAGATCGCATAATGGCATATGCTTGCAGATCTCATAATGGCATATGCTTGCAGATCACATAATGGCGTATGCTTGCAGATCGCATAATGGCATATGCTTGCAGATCGCATAATGGCATATGCTTGCAGATCGTATAATGGCATATGCTTGCAGATCGCATAATGGCATATGCTTGCAGATCGCATAATGGCATAGGCTTGCAGATCGCATAATGGCATAGGCTTGCAGATCGCATAATGGCATATGCTTGCAGATCGCATATGGCATATGCTTGCAGATCGCATAATGGCATATGCTTGCAGATCGCATATGCTTGCAGATCGCATATGGCATATGCAGATCGCATATGCATATGCTTGCAGATTGCATATGCTTGCAGATCGCATATGGCATATGCTTGTAGATCGCATATGGCATATGCTTGCAGATCGCATATGGCATATGCTTGCAGATCGCATACGGCGTATGCTTGCAGATCGCATATGGCATATGCTTGCAGATCACGTATGCTTGCAGATCACATATGCTTGCAGATCGCATATGGCATATGCTTGCAGATTGCATATGCTTGCAGATCGCATGTGCTTGCAGATTGCATACGGCATATGCTTGCAGATTGCATACGGCATATGCTTGCAGATCGCATATGGCATATGCTTGCAGATCGCGTATGCTTGCAGATCACATATGGCATATGCTTGCAGATCGCATATGCTTGCAGATCGCATATGTTTGCAGATTGCATATGCTTGCAGATCGCATATGCTTGCAGATCGCATAATGGCATATGCTTGCAGATCTCATAATGGCATATGCTTGCAGATCACATAATGGCGTATGCTTGCAGATCGCATAATGGCATATGCTTGCAGATCGCATAATGGCATATGCTTGCAGATCGCATAATGGCATAGGCTTGCAGATCGCATAATGGCATAGGCTTGCAGATCGCATAATGGCATAGGCTTGCAGATCGCATAATGGCATAGGCTTGCAGATCGCATAATGGCATATGCTTGCAGATCGCATAATGGCATATGCTTGCAGATCGCATAATGGCATATGCTTGTAGATCGCATATGCTTGCAGATCGCATATGCTTGCAGATCGTATATGCTTGCAGATCGCATATGCTTGCAGATCACATATGCTTGCAGATCGCATATGCTTGCAGATCGCATATGCTTGCAGATCGCATATGGCATATGCTTGCAGATCGCATATGGTATATGCTTGCAGATCGCATATGGCATATGCTTGCAGATCGCATAATGGCATATGCTTGCAGATCGCATATGCTTGCAGATCGCATAATGGCTGTAACACAGCAAAGGCGTAACCCGGGATGCTCAGATTGGCTTTTGCGTCGTTACATTGCCCCCCACTTAGCAATGGACGTCCTCGGCCATTATTTCGAGCACAGGAGCCATCCCACCTCGCGCCAGTGCGCTGGTTTATCCATTACACCATTTAATCGCTAATTTGCGACTTGCTGGTTGCCAGAATCGAACCGCCGACCCGAAGTTTATTTCGGAATTCGTGCGGTCCCGTCTCGATACCATTGTAACACAGCAAAGGCGTAACCCGGGATGCTCAGATTGGCATTTGCGTCGTTTCAATGGCATATGCTTGCAGATCGCATAATGGCATATGCTTGCAGATCGCATAATGGCATATGCTTGCAGATCGCATAATGGCATATGCTTGCAGATCGCATAATTGCATATGCTTGCAGATCGCATAATGGCATATGCTTGCAGATCGCATAATTGCATATGCTTGCAGATCGCATAATGGCATATGCTTGCAGATCGCATAATGGGATATGCTTGCAGATCGCATAATGGCATATGCTTGCAGATGGCATGATGGC